CTAATGGGCCTTGTGCATTGGATTATCAGCTGGAGGTGTTTGCCTGTTTACAGATATGGGTGCTTGACCAACGGACTCGCATGCCTTGAAGATTGGTGTCACGTGGATATTTGCGTGCTTCGTGCTACAACCTCTCTCATCCTCTCTTTTTTTTTGACAAAAGCTGTCTTCTCCTCATCGGGGGACAGCTATATAGTATATATATATATATATCGTCAAATAGAATTGCCCGGTAAACCGTAGGCAGAGAGGGAGAAGAGGACAACGAACGAGGGGCTGTGACAAACTGTTTCGTATATATATATATTCTCTCAGTCATAATGTCATATGTTAAGTGGTGTTCTGCCATGTCATGGAACATATATTTTTTTACAGCCTACCACTATTCTAGGGCTATACAGGGGACCCCTGCAAGCATAACTTTCCAGCTCTCGGTAAAGGGATTTAACGGTATGTTTGCCCTAGGGCTATACAGGGGACCGCTGCAAGCATAACTTTCTACCTCTCGGTGAAGGGATTTAACTGCATGTAGTGTTTACCGTGGTGCAGGTTTGGGGCCGCCGGTGGGGCCCCAAGTAAAACAAGGACCGAGTATTTGCCAGTAACTGTGCCTCCCTTTTCATCTTCCCCCCCTCCCATCGGATAACAGTAGTGTCTAAGGCCAGCTCTCTTCCACACATCACACGCAACCTACTCACACGTGCATTCACACCCGTGTTGGCTTAAGACCTTAATAATACCGACTGGGAGGATCCAGCTCTCTCTCAGTTGGTTGGCACCGAGCGTGCCACAGGCGGCCGTTGGGGTTGAACCCACGACCTACGGAATGCCACTTGCGTACCAATTGAGCGAGGCCGCAGGATATAGTCTCGGCTTTATCAGTGTGGTTTTGTGTCTCTGGAAATCTGAGTGGGGGATATGGCCAGGGCAGGGAACTGTAGGGCGGGGCTGCTGTTTCCTGAGGGAGGTGTAGGCATCTTGGAGAGTAAATCATGAAATTTTCCTTGTGGATTTTCCAGGTTCCTTGCTAGTCAGGGAATGGGTGTGTGGCGCGCTGTCCTAGCGATGCTAGGACGAGTTGCGTCGTGTTTGTCGGCTGGCTGTCTATTTGTAATGTGACTGATGTTTAATCGGTGCCTTCTGCCTTGTGGACAGGGCTCATCATCTCAACGTGAATGCCTTGAACCGTGAAATGCTGTTGGATGCTATGGAGCACCCAGAGAAGTATCCCCAGCTCACAATCAGAGTATCAGGATATGCGGTGCACTTTACTCGCTTGACGAGAGAGCAGCAGATGGACGTTATCAGCCGGACGTTCCACGAAACAATGTGAAGTGTTGGGTTCGCAACATAAGGGCGTGTGTTCTATCGACTTCTCTGAAACGGAAAATGGAGTGGGACTAGCGTCCAGAGGTATTTTCTAGAGAGCAGCAGACGGATGTTATCCGCATGACCTCCTATGAAACAATTTAAGTGTCGAGCCGTCGAATATGCGAGGAGCACTCTCACCACATCCGTGTTGCGCGACATCCGCGTTGCGCGAGAACCGAGTATTCTATGGTCGCCCAGATATGACGATAGTGGTGCTCGTTATTTTGTTTGGGTGGGGTCAGCAGTGAGAAGAGAGTCAAGAGACTGAACATGCAGTGCGTTGTTATTACGAGAGGTTAGCTGGTGGCCCAGAAGCTCTACCAGCTGGCGTGGGAGAGTTCTGCTTTGTGTGCAATTTTTCCAGGTCTACCAGCTGACGCGGGACTGAGTTCTTCTGCTTAATGTGCAATTATTTTGAAGAGCCCAGTGTGAGATCCGCGAATCTGTTTTGTTGCTGTGTCACTACCTTCTCTCTTGATTGTGAGATCCGCGAATCTGGTTTGTTGCTGTGTCACTACCTTCTCTCTTGATTGTGAGATCCGCGAATCTGTTTTGTTGCTGTGTCACTACCTTCTCTCTCGATTGATGTACGGCCATGTACATAGAAGTGATGGTGGTTAGTAAATAATTGTTAGCAGCATGGTGCATGTGATAGACTTGGGGCAGCATCTCTCCAGGTCGGTCTGGGTTATTCTGTGGTCGAGGAGAAGGAGAGCAACGAGCTGGTGTGCTGTCTACCGATAGATTGGAGGTATTCCAGGATCCCAAGTATGATCGCAGTGGGGGCCCGGCGTTGCGGCTATTCTCGTGTCTGCTGGACTCAAGGGGAGCGGGAGCAGTTTGTCGGTGTGCTGTCTACAAGGGAAACGGGACTGGTGTGCCGTCATACGATGAAGAGTGGAGTGTTAGATCAGTGAATCTGTTCGTTTGCCGTGCCACTCGTTTCTTTCTCGATTGCTGTGTCCATGTACATAAGAGTGGTGGTGATCAGTAAATGGTTGGCAGCGTGGTGGCGTTGATAGACTGGGTACAACATCTCTCGGGTACGTTGCTTTGATGTACTGGATGCAGCATCTCTTGAGGCCGGTGTTGGGTTTTTCTGACGTCGGGTGTCAAGGGTTAGGGGGACAACGAGCTGGTGTACTGTTTTTTTTTTTTTTTTTTTTTTTTTTTTTTGGAGTCTTATCTCGTCGGCGTAGGAGGAGGACGGTGTTGGTTATTGTTGTCTGGTTTCAAGGTGGCAATTCAGTCCTTGTCCTTTAGGAAGTTTAGGTTCAATTCCGGATTCATAGATAGGTAGCTTTTTAAAGCGATTGAGGGCAGTCATTTTAAGGCATGTCGTCAAAGCATGAAGCTTGAGGTTGGGCGTTATGTCGTGCAGTGATCGGTAGGTGCTGCTGGTCGAATCGGAGGATAATGCGTCAAAACTGCCCTTTTTTGCTCTCAAAGAACGAGGTTACAGTCAACTTTAAGTAATGAACGCAGTTTAACTGGTAGAATGTGCTAGACAGCACTCCGCCCGCCTTCTGATGGGGGGACCTTGGATGGAAATCTGAAATCTCAATGTCGAATGTTTGAATCATCATGCTGTCGAACGATCGCATGGACATTTACTTGTGACTGACCGGAGAGGCATTTACCCTTTTTTGAACGCTGATCTGATAATTTGATAGATGGAGTGAAGGGGGTGGTTATCTTGTCAGTGTGACTGTGATGTGAGAAACGTGCCCATGTTGTGTCCTTATTGCAATTAATAGTGAACATTGCGGCATCGGTTCTCTAGCAGAAACGAAGTACGTTTGTTCGACGACGTTTCGTATGTCATTTTGTGGTGCATGTGACACTTCGCTCGAATCTTCACGGCTGTTTGCACTTGATCCATGTAAGGACGAGAAAGGTTTGCATAAGCTGGATGAATGTGGTTGTAACTGTCTTGTTGATTGTGACTGTGCCGAATGAATGAATGTGGCAGCACTTGGTGTTCTCATACGTATGTATCAGGTCGCTGGACAGGCGACTGCCTTCAGAGTGGAGAAGAGAGCGTGGCTATGTTGTGTGTGTGTAACCACTCTTATCTCCGGATCTGAGCCGGTGACCTGTCACAGGCCAGGTGTCGTGCCAGTTGCTGGCATTCCTGCAGAGGAAATCCATTCCTACTGTAGTGATTACTTTGGGAAAACCTAGTCCAGCCAGTGCTTTTGTAGAGAAGTTCGTTAAAGTAGGAAATATGAATTACAATTTACAATAATTGAATAATTTAAGATAATTAATAATTTAACATTGACTCTCGGTCATACTTTAAACCACCATTACCTCCGAGCCCCTTTCTCCGGATGCGTTTGAAGTCCAGCTTGGTGGGTCAAAACCATAAGTACCTCCGAGCCTCTTTGTCCTTGTGCAGATTTGCACTGCGTGCCAGTGAAACACATACTGCCGGCGGTGCACTTCTTTTTCTTTGGCGGGTGCCGCCAGCAACTTTGGTTCGGTAGCACTGTTCATCTGAAAAAGCCAGATTCGTTGGCTGCCATTGCCAGCCACTTTGGTCCGGTAGCACTGCTCATCTGAAGAAGCCAGATTGATGCGATTTTGGTCCTCTTTCGGCTGGCTGGTGGTTTGAACTACCAGTACGTGGCCCTGGGCAAGTTGAGAAAGAGCCTCTCCGAAAAGTCTGGAGGGTCGCGTGAACTGGGCCAAAATGACTCATGGTGGTAGCGAAACGGAACGAGGCACTGGCATTTTAGGCAAGGGGAAGCCGCCAGCGTTGGATGAACTGGTCGTTGAAGCCTGAAGTACACAGTGCCCTTATTTCAATCCGGTTTGTTTCCGCTGGCTGTATGTCCGCTGGGGGTAAGTGAAATCAGTGTCTAAGGTTGACCCATACCCCAGACGTCGATCACCTCCACGTTTAAGTCTGAGCCGTAACACCTCCAACTCGGTTCACTACATGAAACTAACGTCGTCTCAGTTCTCCCTCTTGAGGCATGCAACGAGGTCGTTTCCCACGGAGCAGACGGTACACATCTGCAAAGGAGTCCGCTAAAAGGACCTTCCGATGCGTGAGGAGCCATTGGACTATGATAGCTGCGGAAAAATGTGGTCATTCTCTGCCACATCACCCCCCCCAACTCTCAATCTCAAATGTGGGATGGCTCTCAATCTCATCCAATCTGGCACAAGATTTCTCACTCGAGTCAGACTTATATCACCTTTTGAGTGCTTAGTGTGCTGAGCTGGTTGATAATTTCTTATAAGTAGTTGAAAATGTAGAGGCTAAAACAATCACATTTGTTTTGTTTTTGTTGTTGTTTTTAAGGCGAATTTCCTAAGCCCAACCAATTCAATTACCTGTCGAATCTGGACAGGACAGCCTTTCAGGCCCTTTTTTTATTGTCATTATAGTATTAGGGGGAACATGCGGGAGCAGCACCCCCGAAAACTGAGGTTCCGGTGGTGGGATTCGAGAAGCTCACCCCCTCCCCCCGGAGTGCGTGAGGATATGCTTCTCCCCCTCCCCGCCGGAGTACGCTCCTCCATATCCTCGCGCGACGGGCAGCAATTGTCAGAACGGGATGTCAGGTGAAACCATAATAATCCCCCGAAATGGGATCCCTGCCACCGACCTTGGCTTGACTCGAGCCTTTGCCGAAGCGGCCAGACTAAATCGAATATTTCTAAGCTTGAAAACTTCATATGGTCAGGTTGATGCAGTTTCGCAACAGTCCCTAAGGTTTTTTCAATCGTGGAGGTCTTTTCAATCGTGGAAAGACTTCACTTTTATGTCGGAATTGTCAGGCATGATCCCAGACTTCCGAAATCAATACACTGATGGCGGGTTGGATGTGGCAAATCCACCCAGGAGGTAATGATGACCTGGTGAGGGACTGTCGCTTGCGCTGCCGCGATTGGGCAACAGTAGCCCCGGAGTTGCTGGACTCTTTCCCCCTCTCCCCGCAATTCGCTGGCTATGAAGCCAGCGGATCGGCAGGGTGAGGGTGGGGGTCGCTCTGGAGCCTCCCTGGAGGATGGGCGGACTTGTTCACGCTGTGGCGGTGTATTGTGCCGTATCCAATTTCCCGTATGTATTTCATTGGAGGCTGGGCCGGTTTTCCACCAGGTGACATTCCCCACCCATGAAACCGAGTAACTAGTGAGACAGCTACCTTCTTAACTCAAAAAAAACGTACGTAGAACGTACGGGGTATGTTGTATTCGAATACTACGTGTGTGCGCTATAGAACGAGTTTTAGTGTACAACTTTTCAGAAGCCTGTAGTTCCGTTATTGTTTTTATTTTTATCTAAAATTTGGTTGGGAGCAGGGTTACCATCGTTCGGGACGGGCCGAACGCCCGAACGTACGAGACCCCTTCTGGACGCGGACCCAAAAAAAAAAAAAAAGAAAAAAAAAAAAAAGGAAGGTTTTCAACAAATTCTGAAAAAAAACTATGTTTCGACACCGCCATCTTTGCCGATTTTTAATTATTTTTTGGCATTGACAAATGCCCTGAAATTTTACAGATATGTAGTTTACATAATCAACAACTCATTAACGAGTTTTAAAAAAATAATAAAATTGTTTAGGCCCCAAAATAAAGTGAAAACAAAAAGTTAGTGAAAAAAAAAAACAAAATAGTGAGTGGGCGAGCACGTTTTGACACCCACATCTTTGACGATTTTTAATGTTTTTTTGGCTTAGCAGAATGGCTTCAAACTTTATAGGCGTGTAGGTTACATCATAGAGAACCCACAAAAAAACATTCAGAAAAAACAACTTATTTTTAGGCCCTGAAATATTTTTTGGCGGGGGCCGAACAACCTGGAGGTGTTTGGCCGCCGAACGGGATCCCGAACGCCCGAGCGTTCGGGGGCCAGCCTGGGGGCCCCCGAACGTTCGGTCAGCTAACCCTGGTTGGGAGTTTCAAAAGTACAACTTCGAAGTAAACAAACCGAAAAAAAAAGTGTGGTGTACAACATTGCAATGCAAAAAGTTGTTCGCATTGCAATGTTGTACAACACTTCTTTTTTCGGATTTTTTAAGGATAGTCTTTATCTGAGTTTCACTATTTAAAAAAAAAAATCAATGGGGAAAGTCTTTTTAAATCGAATTATGAAAAAGCCAGTAAAAAACTAGGCTACCAGCCGGGCCTCCCGGGTCCCGGGTGGCCAGCGCGAGCAAGGGCAAGGGCAAATACAGGTACACACCCACACTTCATGTGCAAGTACACTCAGCGTTTCAGCAAGACCCGCATTGCGGGATATGAGTTAGGAAAAATTAACATCATGTACGTCGTATCCCACGCGCCAGGCTTAGCAGGAAAAAAAAAAAAAAAAACCAAAAAAACCCAAAAAAATCCGAAAAAAAACTATGCTATGCAGAAAAATAAACTGAACAACTTTTGCCTCAGGGTCACATCGAAATTCTTTACCAGTTTTAAAATAAAAATTAAAATTAAAAACTATTGTTTTTTTTTTTTTTTTTTTTTTTTTTTTTTTKGCCCGGCCGGGSAAGTGACCCCGGGCCACTCTGGTAGCCTAGGTAAAAAACATTTTCATCCTCGTTTTTATTTATTTTCTCTAATTGTCTCGTGAATTTCGATAAGACCCTCAGGCAAACGTTGTTTGTATTGCACTGTTGTATAACTTTTTATTTTTTTCGGATTTTTTTTATAATTTTTGAAAAATCACAATGTCGTAGGACGTTATATTTGAACGTACGTTCTATTCGGGGAAAAACAAGCGATTTCTGAAAACCTGATTTCCAGAGGTAATTCAAACGGACTTTTTTCTGGGGTTAAGAAGGTGGGTGTATTGGCTCGTATCATCATGTCTAGCTGTGATAGCCAGCAGGTTTTTTTATGTTTTTTTGGTTTTTTGGTTTGTTTTAACTTTAAAATTTGAAGGAGTAGCCTTGTACAATACAGGAGCAACTTCTGACTTGTTATGAAGTTAGTATGAACCCATACGTTTGATTCTATAAGCGCTTGCCAATTACCACGCCCACTGAATCGATGGAGACTAAATCCCATACGAAGTTCGCAGCCCTAAGGTGGAGGTATAGTGGGCTTCCACGTCTGTGTCAAGTTGTTGCATTTTTGGCGGCGGGCGTTGAGGCCGGTCTTCTCGAAACAGGGAGGTCAGGCACAACGAAACAGGCATTTTGCAAGAGGCAACTTTGGCGATTTTCTGTGCTCGGGAAAACCAACAGAAAAATCTGAAATTTTGAAAATCCATCTATTAGATGAGGTCGTGTTCTTTCCGGGAATAATATTACAACGTTTTCAAAAAATCATATTGACTGTGAAAGAATTGTCAACTAAAAAAGTACTCCAAATTTAGCGAGTTTTGCGCTCTTGTGTGAAAAAACCTAAAAATTGGTGTACTCGTACATTTTGTTGTGATCATTCCAGGGAAAATGCTCAATAAATTTTGAGAAATCATTCCGACTATGTAATAGATCGCGGTTGCAATTTGACCCAT